TTAGTGTCCTGTTGACTAAATGCGTTGACAGTTAAGTGTCCCGTAGCTAAATGTCTTGACGACTAACTTCTGTGTCGGCAAAACGTCCTGTCGGCTAAGTGTCCCTGTCGGCTAACTGTCTTGTCGGCTAACTGTCCGTGTCGGCTAACTGTCCGTGTCGGCTAAATGATCTGTTGGTTAAGTATACGTGTCGGTTAAATGCCCTGTCGGCTAAAGCTAAGTGTCCCTGTCGGCTAAATGTCTTGTCGGTTACGTGTCCCGTCGGCTAAATGTCCGCAACCGAAAATATTTTTCACCGTTTGAAAAGTAATATTCACAGTCTGTATTAAAATAAAATACTCGTTTAGAATTCATTTTTCTTATTCTTCTTGTATGAAAAGTCTGCAATAATTTCTTTGTCATTTTTCCAATTTTGCAGCCTCTTGTCTATTTTTCAATGCTGAAATAGTTTGAAGCACACTTCGCATGGATCCGAAAGCAGCTGCTTTTTTATGATTATGCTTTTCACTGTCTTTAATCACCTTGCTACTCAAATGCTTCGTGAAACTATTTTCACTCATAAAATTCAAAGATATCTAGTTTTTAATGTGTTTATAAAAATGCATTTATGATGTGCACGAAACAGGAAGTCCGAGACAGAAAGTATTACCCAGCATTTAGCTCCAACTGTTTTTCACAATCGTCCGCGCCCTCTGGCGTTTGTCTTAAACACGAATATACAGTCGATACTTTGTGAAGATGTGCATATAAATAAATATTGCAAATGTTGTGTTGATATTTAACTGCAATTTTAGCTGGTAGATTGCGTCATAGTTTTTGTTTACCGGTGCGAGCAGAAACTTTTTAGATGTGCAAATAAATATATAACCTATTTAAATACGTTACATATAATTATTTTCATATAAGCATCGAAATTTTATTTGAAATGATACGTGAACAATCCGTAAGTAGGTCTACTCATGGGTCATACGTGCAACTCAGCACCTTTGACGACAAGGAAAATACCTTCGTGCAAAATAAATCATCGTTTCCGTCTATTATTCCTTATAAACGGTATGATTTAATTTTCTTTTAAAACACGTGACTGAATATTTGCATATTTTTTATGCTAGTTAGTTATTTTGTATATTTCTTCTATCATCTGCTAATTAAATTACCTGATAATTAAATTTACCAATTTTTAAACAGAGATTATGTATGAAAGAATTTAGCTATGTATAATGCATATTAAAAACACTGCAAATGTTTTGAAATTGAGTTCTCTTTTTCAGAAAATACATTGGTTTTTTGTTGCAAATACATTGGTAAATTTTATAGCTTGTAATATTTATGCCAAATGCTACAGTTTGCGCCTTTTTCCATGTTTTATTTCTAGATAATACTTTAATGAGAGATTGCTCTGTGTTCACTTTCCATATCGACAAATTTTGTTGTTTGTTATCTCCAATTTGATTGGAAGAAAGTCAGAATTATAAAATTTGGTAATTTGCTAAGTCTACCAATCTAAAATATTTATTCTAAATTCTTGCCATATTAGTTTGAAAAATGCATATTGCAAGTAATTTTTATCTTTATTTTGCATTTTGACTAACATTTCATTATGTCAGATAATAATGCAGTTTGTGTTTAGATGGTAATATTACACATTAATTACATTAATGCTAAGCATTTATACTTACATTAGTGTTAAAACACTTTAATATTAGATCAGTGGCAATTATATATTAGTGTCATATGCATAAATAATTTTTATATTAAGTGATTTGCTCAAAATTTATTTTACTTTATGTGATAAATATTATTTTAATTATATACTAGATATCAAATAAAGGATAAATGTAAGTAACTTTTGCATACTTTGTTATTTAATTATTTTTAATTTATTACTTTAAGAATAAATTCAAAGCATTGGTTACCTTTGGCCATTTTGTGGCAAAAATTGTATTTCTGCTGCAATTGTATGGCAGTCTCTTCCCTTGCAAGCAAATTTCAAAAGTGCATATTTTAAAAGTAAGTTTAAAGCAAAAAATATCACAATTTGCTTATAAAACTGCTAGAATTTTGAAACTATAAAATTCAATTCGACAGCAATATCACAAAATAATTTAAAAAGAGCATATCTTTAGAATTTCCGATACATAGTCTTACACATTAGAGAGGAAAAAAAAGTCCATCCCCATCCATACAATGTTATCATTGCTTGCTTTGAAATCATTAAGTTTGTTAATCAAAAATTCGTTAAAGTTTCTCATGAATGAAAATATAGTTGAAAAATTAAGTGTGAAATAGAAAGATAAATAAAGTGTGGATTGAACTTTACTGTACGGCTCCGCTTCGTTTCTGTCTGAAAAAGTCGCCAAGTGGTATTGATTGTACGTGAAATCTGGAAGCCTGCTGCGCGAAGTAGGTTTTTTTGTAACCTAATGTTGATAATATGGTTGAAACTAGTCTTGGGGGGAGGGGTGCAAATATTGCCAAATGGGTTGAGATTTTGGCTATTTTTTGTAATAGTTACCCTTTTGTATAGACTGTAGATTTTGAGTTGCTGTGTTTGGTTGCACGTGCATAATGTTTTATGAAAGTGGTGTTTGAATGTTTGTTTAGTGTTATAAATGATATATTATTCCAGATATGACTATAATTTCTGAAGGAGTACATAAAATAGAAGGAACGGATTTCTGACTTTCTTGCATGCTATTATACGTATTTACCCGCTGTTTAAATAATTGACGTTTTATTCATTTATTGGTGTCTACATGGATAAAGTTAAATTAGTGCACAATGCCTAGTTTGTGCAATTCTCTGATTTGTTCTTAAGTTAAAATAGGTTGAGGTGTACATGGATAAAGTTAAATTAGTGAGCAGTGTCTAGTTTGTGCAATTCTCTGATTTTTTTTTTAAGTTAAAATAGGCAGATGTGTACATGGATACAGAGTTTGTGTAAGTGTTTGATTTCTTGTTTTGATTTTCTGTAGAGGGTGGAAGGATTGCCATCATCTTGAAATTGGTGGCAATGCTTCGTGGCTCCGATCTTGGTGTCAAAAAATCAACAGTTCGCCAAGCGAGAAAGTAAAGTAAAGATTAACCAAAGTATCAAACAAATAATAAAACAAATTTGTACTTCCAGATGCCCATATTCGGGTGCAGGATTGCGTTATTCAAAATTTGATGGCTCTAGGTGCCATTGTTTTATCACAATGCAAGAGGCATACATACATTTATGCAGAATCTTCATTATTTAATTTCTTTAAATATAATACAGGGTGATAATATTTGATAGCAACAATTTGAAAAGTGATTCAACACATTTAAGTTTTTATTGCAAAATACCAAAATGAAATTAATAGCCCTTCTGGGCTAAAAACAAAAAATAATACTAATTTAAAATAAGCCATATGGTATAATAAAATATGACTGAATGAATGAAGTTATCTTTCTGTTTAGAGTCAAATTCTAGAATATTGTTATGAAGAGTGCAATATTGTATTGTCAGCTAAAATTATGCATAAAGAATTTGGCTGATCTGTACTACAGTACCCCTTGGTTTCTGTCTGAAAAAACTGCCAAATGGTATTGGTTGTTCATGAAATCTTGAAGCCCGCTGCGTGAAATAATTTTTCCGGTGACCCTAATGTTGATAATGTTGGCAAAACTAACCTTGGGGAAAATTGTGGGTTGTTTTTTTTTCATTAAAGGGGGGGGTTATTTCTGTGAATATCGCCGAACATTTTGTGATAAATTGAAATTTTGGCTAATTTTTGTCATAGTAACTCTTTTGTATGGATTGGGTTTTTTTATTTTTACCATTCTTTTCAATTGCTGTGTTTGGTTACATGTGCATTGTGTTGTATTTTGCCTTGGGTAACATTATTCTGTACTTTTCCGTTTTGTCGGCGCAAGTGATAAAGTTGCCAGTAATGGTAAAACTGATGCCAAACGAAATATCCTCGCTGGTAACCTTTTACTTTAAATTTTACATTTTCAAAACAAGTCGCAGCCATTTTTTATCAGATTGATTGTTTCTTTCAATACCTGCATACAATTACATAGAAGTTTTACCAGATAGTTCAATTTTATGCGCTAAGACCATTCACGAGCGGTAATTAAGTCAATTAGAATGCAATCACACTGCTTACGCAATGGCAAAAATATAGAACAGGCAAAGTCAAGGGTTAAATTTATCAATTTTAATGAGAATGCACTAGCGAAGTAAAGAACTGTGGTTTTAATTTCTGAGTAAGCTATTCATACGAATTGAAATAATTCTTGCATTTAAACTTGTATTCCAAATTAAGATTTAACTTGAAATTAATGTAGATAATTACCGAGAGAATAAGATTTTTATAGCGTAGTTTACGTGCGAGATGAGATCACTTGGGGTCACGTGATACGAACCACCAAATCAGGATGTTGTACGATGAAAGCATAGTAAATTCGAATTGTTTTTTTACAAATTTATTGGCTTTTCTACAAAATTTCAAACGACATTAAAATGTTTATACCTTCAAAATAAAAAATTCTTACAACTAACATTTGTCAACACTTTTTATGTGTATACTGTGTGTTTTCGCCAATAAAGTGTACTTGGTGAGAACTGCGCCGGCGAAACAGAAAAGTATCTATTGGTTGATCTTTACAATATGGTAACTGGTAGTTTGGCGACATTTTGGAGGCGATAAAGGTTACTAACTGGCACTTTGGTAATAATGTGAGCAGTACTCAGTTCCGATTACGCATTATTTTGTGTGAGGGAAAGAGAGATCATGGGATATGTCATGTGATCTTAATGGACGAATTACGGTTTCTTTAATCGGAAAGGGGGGAATCGGGAAAAATATGGAATTTTGTATTTGGCTTTATTCTGTGTTGTGTGAAACAGTGTTCGTTGAATTTTTGGATCCCATGGCCCTAACTAAAGTGAATTCGAAATGGGTATTTATGTATGTATTAATTAATGTATGTGCTCATTTTATATTTTAAGTAGTGTTTTTTGAATTTAATTAGTATTTTAATTAAATGATAGTTATTTTGTGAATTTTATGTTTGTAGGAATTGGTATACGTTTAGTTGAAGTAAATGTGCATGGAATAATTTAAATATCGACATAAGTATTTGTAATGGTTGCGGTATGAATTCGTTGGTGACGTGTATAATGTAATAGATGATTAGAGGTAAAAGTTTTTGGATATTTTATTTATTTTATGTGGAAATGTTCATTACTTTTCGCGATCAGGTAATTTCATATATGTTCTTTTTACCGGGTTTAAAGTTTGAGAAAATTGTCATGTATTTTCGTGAAATTTTTCGAATTTATGAGAAAAAAGCAGTGTACATGGATATAGTGAAGACTGTGCGCAATGCCATTTTTTTGCAATTCTGGGAAGTTTTTTTAAGTAAAAATGAGTCGACGTGTACATGGTTTAGATATATTTTAATTAAATGATAGTTATTTTGTGAATTTTATGTTTGTAGGAATTTGGTACACGTTTAAGTTGAAGCAAACGTGCATGGAAATAATTTAAATATTTGATACTAAGTATTTGTAATGCTTGCGGTATGAATTCGTTGGTGACGTGTATAATGTAATAGATGATTTAGAGGTAAATGTTTTTGGATATTTTATTTATTTTATATGTGGAAATGTTCATATTTGGAAAGGGTAAATACTTTTTCGCGATCAGGTAATTTCATATATGTTCTTTTTACCGGGTTTAAAGATTGAGAAAATTGTCATGTATTTTCGTGAAATTTTTCTAATTTATGAGAAAAAAGCAGTGTACATGGATATAGTGAAGAGTGTGCGCAATGCATTTTTGGCAATTCTGGGATGTTTTTTTAAGTAAAAATAAGTCGGCGGTACATGGTTATGTGTATGTGTTTTTTGAAAAACGTAAGGAGTATGGTTGTGCACTTTTCCCAATTTTGCAGTGAATATTTGTCATGATTAAGCAGTTTTGTTAGATAAATTTCTAGCATAAGTGTAATTCGGCTAGTAGATTGTTGGAAGAAGTGTTCAGTAGATAAAAGAAAAGAAACATGTCTTTACTTCGTGA